TCAACACGCCTTGTTACGACGGGTCTCAACTTTGCCTTTTTCGTGTTATAGTCTAGATACTCGTCATCCGACACACATTCGTCAACTGATGGCCTGAATTTACGCCCCTGAGCAGCTTCATGCATCTCCTTGAACGGATACAAGGCGCCCTTAGTCTGGTCAATTTTTCTCGTGTCCAATTTTGTTTCATGATCGGCTTTTACTGCCGATATCTTTGTTAATTCCCTTTTTAGAATCTCCTTATCCCGCTGAAATTTACGTTCAGCGTCAATTCTACATCTTAGGGTATTCTGACTCAAAATCACCACCGCTAGTGCTAATTTGTCTTTACCCGACAAACGCTGCATCTTCCCCCATGCACGTTTTGTGTCGTCCGTACTCCACAAATTATCACCATCTGGGATTATATTATATTTAGCCTCAATTTGTTTTTCGACATGAATTGTTTTCAGCTGCGTGGTAATTATTTCTTTTACTGATTCTAACATGTCATCCTCAGAAATATCTGGCACTGCCCATTGTCGTGGTAAGGTTTTACCACCCCAGGTTCGTTGATCTAGAACTTTCACAAAGTACAAAGAAAAGACAAAGATCGTTGCTCGAGTTCACCTGTGCACAGGGAGAGTCCAGCGGAGAGTCAGGGGGTTGACTGCTGAATCCTGCTCTCTCCCCAAACTCAGGCTCTTTTATTCTCTCCAACATCCAGGGGGTACATGTCAAGTGGTACAAACTTCGTTTGTTCTACGCACACACATACATTTTGACAACAACATCTACTCCCTTGGTTTCTCATCCTGTTCTTATCGCACCTAAGTGCTGTTGTTGTGACCTTATGCTCTAACCTTCAACCTAGCCGTTGTCAAATTGTGATCTACTAGTTTCTGATCCCTATCTCACCAAGTACTCCTCTTGTAACAACAAACCTTGGTGCCCCTCAACCTTGCAGCTCCTTTTCTTACAGCTGCATATTTTCAGTTTTAGCTTTAAGCAGCATTTTATGTTCAAACTGGTTATATGTTTTAGCACATCTCTTATGATTATTTATTCTATTATAAAACATGATTATATATGTTGCATACTTCTATAAACTACGAACATATGAATACATTTCATCCACACAACATTTGCTAAACTGAAGAGCAAAAGGGAATGTAAAAAGAACCTGTTGGGAAGAATGTCAATGTCTTGAATGTACCTAAAGTATCTCTGAAGAGTGTCTAAATGCATTCATTTAGACACATTTTGGAGTTATCTAGGATGTGATTTAGAAGCTACAGCAGAACCAGGCATGTTCTGTACATTTATATCCTGTTTAATTTAATTCATGATTGTGTTGTGTGACGTCAGTAGCTAATATGTTAATAAAACCTAGGCGCCTTTTCTCCTACATGTCAGAAGTAGAAAAGACAAGGGGATTTGTGTTCAATGACAACGGTAAATGCCCAAATTAGATGGTGCAAAATTCAACATGCCCTTAGCCGACTACCTGTTTTTTGACTGCTACCAGTACCCGTACTACCGTAAATGCAAAAAAAAAACAAAAACAAAAACGCAGAAAAAAAATCTCTAAAGCTGCTGTTCGCTTTTGTCGGTATATCCAGTCCCTGTACTGTCGCTGGTGCTGTAACAATGGATACACAATAACCAGTTCAGCGGTCACGTTTTGCTAATTGCAGATATTCTCAAAATATTTTCGTGTCTCCTCCCATCCCGGATCTGGTCTGATTCCACGTGTCTTTAGTGTCCACGGTAGGTAGATGGAGAAAAGGCAACCAAGCTAGCTGTAAGGTCCGAACCACGTAAATAAGTAACGTTGCTTAAAATGTGTGACATATTCATTATCACTCGCTCACATTTGCAGTTTTATTTTCCAGCTTAAACAGCCAACAGTCGAGCTCATATAGCCTAAAGAACTGGTTTGAAACCATTACCTAAAACAATCTCCGACAAAGAAAAGTCGGTTTGATTCATTTCAGCTAATATTGACTGTAAAATATTAACTACCAACACTGGACGAATGTAATTATATATAAACCTCAGGCGACAAAGCTTGCGCAAGCCCACTGTTGTGATTTTGTAAACTTTACTTTATAATCTATTTTGATATTTCTGAGTAGGATGTACATTCTTTGCTACGAATAGGAAAAATATATGTGACAGATACAATTAGTTTTAAACAGTACATTGTGTGCTGTCATCGATCATACAGAACAATAAGTGCAAAAATAATCTAATTTTATTGAGGCTTTCGCTGTATATTAATACGAAGATTTGTTTTCACGAGTACCTTAAAATGCTTTATTGTTAGTCAGTATAAAATCTTAGCACGGATTTTTTGTGAAAGTGGTCTAAAATCTATTTCTTTTAAACACTACTTAATCTGTCTTGACTTTCTGCATGTTTCTATTTTGGGGTTAGACAGAACGGCTTGGCTCTATATTATTAGATTAATTTACAGTTAGATATTATGTTGTGACATGGAGTAATTTAGTTTGTAAAGGCTTTAATAAGGCAAAACAGGACTTTGAAGTAGAGTTAATCATTGCTTTACTGTCTTGCCCATTTACAATCAACTGGACAGTCAACTGTGATTTGTGGATTTCTTTAGTATTTTATTCTTGTATAAAATTGTATGATAAATATAAAAATTAATCACTTTGAATCTTGTGAGGCTTGTGTGTTGATTAATATAAGTGCAATGTAAAGCTGCCGCGGGTCAGAAAATAAGGAAGTGCTCAATAATCTACCCAGACGCCAGAGTTCATCCAAGAATGTGGCTATATGTGTAACTGGTATTTTAAGAAAGCTGTCGTGCTGCTGTCACCAACGCCTTTATTGATTTGATGGAATTTACATAGAACAAAATAAATTTTCCTTCAGGACACCACCCAAGCCCCTACAAAGTACACATACAATAAATATATTGTAAAGAATTAAATAAAATGTTGAAAACAAGGACCAACAGAAAAACACTAACCTCTCCCACAAAGTCCGAAGAAAGAGGGAGAGGTTGGGTGTGACTAATTTTTTACATCAAGTATAGAATAGAATATATACGTAAAGTTTTTGTCCAGGGAGGAACAACCCACTTCTGTCAGGTAGAAAAAATAAAATAATTTTGTGGAATTGTAACTATTAACCTCTGTTACATATGTGTCTTCAAACCACTTCTGAATGTGGTTTTTGTACTCGGATCTGTGGATGTAGGCACAGCTCATTTAGAACTTCCCGCTGTTTACATGTGATTGGATTATTTGAATGCATGTTAATAAACTGTTGACACTATTGTATTTTGGGAGAAAAAGTAATTGGCACAAGATATGTATTGTAGAGTATGCACCCATGCCTTTGTGAGTTTGTGCAAACACCAGTGACTTGTAGGGATATGGTTTTGATGAAAGCAGAGAGGCTTTTTTTTTTTTTTTTTTTTTTTTAAATAGCTTGAACTCACTCATTTCAAATATGTCCCGGCTGAGGTTTGTGGTGTCTCCACAGTCTCTAAACAACTATGGGTGGGTTAGGGAACGGACGTCGTGGAGGACGATCACCCCCTCTCCTGATTGGTGCTCTGATTGCCTGTGTCCTGGTTCTCGGATTTAACTACTGGGTCTCAAGCTCCCGCAGCCTGGAGCTACAGGTCAGTTCATGTTCATATATCCCTGTGGTATCTGACCCATGCTTTTGTTAAACTCAGTGCTGACTGAATGATTTTTGCCCGCATAGTCTTTAATCGTTGTAACGACCTGTGCATGCTACAGACAAAGCTGTATGAGTTGGAGGGTCAGGTACGGAGGGAAGCAGTGGATCGAGGAGATGCGGAGCTGAAGAAGACTGAGTTCCAGGAGGAGATCAAGAAACAGGAGGAGGAGATCATCCACATTGAAAGTTTCTACAAGAAACAACTGGAAGTAGTCGGGGACACTTGTGAGAAAGATAAGGTTACACAAATCCTCCTGTTCAAATCTGAATGAATTGCTTTGGAGACTAGTTGTATTTTAAACTAAAGTTTTTTTTCTGCCTTTAGGCCATACTCCAGCAGAACATTTCATCCTCTGCAAAAGCCACGCAAGAACTCAGAGGTTACTGTTGAAATTAAACATTGTCTTCTCAAAATCTACAGAATCAAAGTCTTACTAGTTTAATCTTGGTTCCTGATCATCTGTATTTTAGATACATTGAACCAGCTCAATGACAACCTGGCGAAGCAGGAGAAGGACCTGCAGAGTTGTCAAGGCAACATAAACGCCCTGAACACCAAACACACAAACGAAATGTAGGAAAACAATATTTAATTTACAAATTTGGTCAAATCTAATAATGTCAAAGTACTTTATCCTGATCAGTGTTTTTTGTAGCTTGCATGATACCACTACACACAATGGAGTGTAAGTATTAGTGAGTTTTTATGTATTCTAAAGGGCTTGTCTTTGCACACACATGCAGGTCAACCTGTCACTCTCAGGTCCTGTCTCAAAAGGAGCTGTGTGATGAAAAAGTGGAGGCTGCTAAACCTGAAATTAAGAAAAAGATGGAGAAGCTTAACCCTGCCCGCAGTGGTCTTTTAGTGGTGAGTCAGCAAAATCTGATCTTATGGAAAATGTAATTGTGGTTGACTGAAATGTAGTTTATCAACCTAAAAAAAATAAACATTTTAACTTCACACTTCCTATTTAATGTTCCCTTTAAATAGCTAATTTAGGTATGATTTAAGATAAGTATAAAAAGAAAACAGAAAAAGTGAACACAAAATGAGCAATGGAGTTCCAGGTCAAAATAGAAAACAAAATCAGATTAAATGCAAAGCATTTCCTCAAACTCTTTTTTACATAAATATGTAATGTAATATTTACTCTCTTTCTCAGAATAACTCTGAAGCTGGAGCAGCAAAAGAAAAGGAACCCGTAAACGCTGAAAAACCAGCAAAGATGAAAATAGCTGTCAACCAGAACTCAAGCCTTTCTAAGCCCACAGAAAATAAACCATCTCAACTGCAAACTAATGACATCATAGTAGACAATGGTAAAAAATAGTAAATATTTGTAATTGAATACTAAAAAATTATATGTATCACTTTGTTGTTTCTTTCACGCTTTGTTTCTTCTCTTTTTTGTTTTATTCCTGCCCCTGATTCCCCAGTGTACCACTCACTTCTGAAGGAAGTTGGTAAAAAGGAGTCTCCCTCTGCTGCTGCTGTCAAGCAGGACACGGTGCGACCACCAGGTGGCCCTGTGAAAGCACAAGTGGGTGAGACAAAAACTGATAAAGATGTAAAGAACAACCTGAGTGAAAATAATGCTGTGGAGGTGATGGACGTTCACGAAGAGGAGGATCAAACGAAAGGTAAGAAAATGAGTTTATAGTCTACGATGGATGTCTCCTGAAAATGGTGGTCGAAACACTTCACAGTTTGTGATGAAGTTGTAAATTTGTTCACATGCAGACGCTGGTGTGGAAGGCATGCTGGATAACCAGGGGAAGGCCCATGAAAATCCTGTAGATCAGAAATTGGAAGAACCGGATGATTATGATGCAGAGAAACAAATAGTGGAAGATGAAGAAGTGGAGAAACAGCCGGAAAATAAAAAGGCTGAAAATATAGGTATGTGTGCTTTGATTTGTCACTGGTGAATGTCCCCAGAAAGTTCAGAAACATGGTCTGAATGAGGGATGAAGCTGCTGTATATAAAGAATGAACAGAACTGTGATCGTCTGTGTTTGTTTATGTCCTACTGTGTGACAGACCTGGATATGGAGAAGGAACTGGCCGACTACAATGGAGATGATGAGAATGAAGGGGAGTTTGAGGCAGACAAACAAGCAGAGCTGGCACAGAAATGAGGTCGTGCTCATGACCTTCACCAACATTGTAACAAATAAATGTAAGATAACACATTTGAATGGACCATTATGGCAGTTATAAGTTAAACATTATAATCTGATTTCACACAGGAAATAGTTTTCTACATTATACCTTCACTGGCTGTAGTGATTTATTTATAAAAACAAGTACCATGACATCTTCAAAAGTGAAATGGTTTTATAAATGACAGAAATGTAATTTTTACACTGATATAGTTTCAGTTTGATCTCATCCACTAATTATTTCCCACACAGTTCAAGGATGATTAATTGGTTCATTGTATTATCGTTGTGTCATCGACATAAAGGCATATACATTCTGTTTTCATCCATTTGATCAGTAGAAACAGACTGAAAAAAGATTTGATGATGATTTGTTTATCATATCAACAATGAGGGAATCAAATTCAACCATTTATCTGTGATTGCTACAGCCCTTCCTGATTCACCCTAACCTGGGACTGGGAATTTCAATTCAATCCCTCTAGCACGTATCATATCAGCAATTTCCCTTTATAGATTAATAAATACAAATGGCTTGTGTAATTGTCAGGTTTATTCTAACATATATGACGACAAAGTAACAACACAAAATACGTCTTGATTTTTTACTTGCAAGGGGGGAGGGCAGCTTACTCTTCTGGCAGCTTCCTCATCAACTCCTAGTAGCCACACCCTTCCTCAGCACTTTTATTGAGTTTATAAAAGTATCAGATCACATAACATGTTCTCGTGTGTATGAATGGGTATGGAGTAAGAAGGTGGGTGTGAATGGGGGTGTGGCTGTGTCTGGTAATTTCTCCATCAGTCTTGAGCACACTAGATTATAATATGAGAAGCAAACAGTTTCTTAAAGCGATAGTACAGCATGAAGCAATGATAATAAATTAAATTCTTCCAACAGTAATGCAGTGTAGCTATTAGCTATTAATGTCAACATAAATGTCAGTTATTCCTCACACCACAAAATGACCAGCCATTATTTTCTTTGTTCTAATTCTTCTTTGTGTGTTTTTGATGTCAGGACTGGCAGCAGATGAACACGGCTGGATTTAAGGACATAGAACATGTTTAACACTCCAACACGTGGGCTCCACACAGGTTACTGCAAAAGTGGAAACGTACTAAACAAGAAACAAATCACTGTCTGATTTTTGGTCTATCTGGGATTTGGTTGAGAAGTTGTCTTCTGTCATCTTAATCAAGTTTGTCTACACAAAATACTTAACTACATCTAAAACAGATACAGTTGTAGGATTTTTTTTATGTAGCGATTGTAACTGGTTATGATCAATAGCCACCACCAGGGGGCAACAAAGATAATTTGCCTCCACTATGAGGAGCTTCCATGCTCTCATTATTTCTTTGTCATTTTTGTAATGTATGTGCATTCACATATATAAATATCTATACAGTCTATAAAGTCAATGGGAGTGTGTTAAGAGTCACAAAGGTATAATAGGTCTAGATTCGTTTTCTTTATTTAACAATAGGTAAATTGGTTTTAGATACATTGTTCATGTTTACTCTGTGACTTAAACACTGTAACTTGATTATGATGTGAAGACCCTTAAAGGGTAAAGCGATAAGTGGAAAATGATCTGGACTGATCTTAGTGACTGGGTGATATGAACGACCTCTGCCTTTTCGCTCAGTGGCATGGCAGCAGATGGAACAATGCCTTTAAAATCATGTTTTCAATGAAGGAAGTGTATTGATGTTCATGCTCATTGTTATTACTGAAAACACATGTTCGTTTTTCTGTTTACTGTAGATCCAAAGATTCAGACTGGCGTCAGTAAACACCACATTTACAAATTACAAACCATTATCTATTAAACTATTTCAACATGTGGTCAACTGCCTTTAGGCTTCACTTTAATATTTAACCATGTTAGTGCGCAAAACTAGATGTGACAGTCAAACTCCTGGAAGCGTAAGGGTTTGTTTAGCAAAACAAGATAAAATAAATAGCATAAAAACAGTAATCAATACTGCTTTGAAATTGATCTGTTGTAAATTCAACTGCACCATTAAGGTCATTGTCCAACCAAGTCCAGTGTCTTTGTTATGATTCTTTGCTTTAGTTCCATATAAAACCATTAAATGCACGTTCAGTGTGCTGGACTGAATTGTGTTCAAGGGCATCTGTGTCCAGTGGAGTGGTAAGAATTCCATCTGTGACATTACCATGCTCCGTCCACATTAGCCCCAGCATGCTTTGCAGGTATGGTTCTGTGAAATCAGCCCTGCATAGCCTTGTAGTCTTTTGTTCTCATTTTTTAAGATATGTTAAATACAATGTGTTGTAAATACTCAAACAGTAGAACTCTGGTTGGTGTTTTGTACTGTAAAAGGCTGGATCAAAAAGGTTTCTCTCAAAATCAAAATTTACTGTTCCCTCCCTGGTTGTTAAATCTAGAATTTCCAACTACACAGAATCATCATCATAAACAGGAAAGGCAAACAAGAGATACATAGTCTTTTTATTTAACAGTGAGTTTTAACATCAACTTCTACAGAAAGAAGATGGGGGAAGTCGTGCATTACTGACCACTCCAGTTCAAACAAGGTCAATGTCACTCCATGTCTTTTTATTTTCTTTTACCAAGTGTCATGTCGGGAACACCTAAGACATAACTGTTTTATAGTTTACTATATAAATGTTTGTGTCCTAGATTGTGGTTTATTTTTCCAGAAGACAATGTTTGCCCTGAAAGATTCTTGCTGTGTGAGGTGTCTTCAGGAAAGGAGTGGAAGCAGCCGGTAGAAGGTCGATTTGTTTTATTGACAAACGTCAAGCAAAACAGGTCCAATAACAAAGCGAAATAACAACCGGGGAAATATTCAACGAACATACAACAAAGTTATATAGTGCTTTAAAATATTTCTCTCTCTCTGTCATCAGTGGTTTACGCTTTTTATACGTATTTTTGGGGAGTGGTTTCGGCGTCCCGGGCGTTTGTTTAAATCTTGTAGGCCAATGGAAGAGAGAGGCTAGGCCTCTTGTGGCCAATCATATTATTGTTCTTGTTATCATGTGATGCCTGCAGTCGCCACTATGTGGCACTCTTGTTCCATGATTCAGCAGTGTTGGAAGAACCTTTTGTTGCTCAGTGGGGGGTTATCACAAGGGAAGTGGACCGAGCCATAAAGTCCAGTCAACCACAGGTGGTCATGTAGATCAAAAGGAATGGATGGCATCGGGGTTCCCTGTGAGAAGGTAGATTGGGAGATCTCCCATTGTTGTGTGAAGATCTCCCATTGTTTCCAGGGAGCAGAGGTGTTCTTAGGGGGTTGGTGTGAAGAGAATCTGGGGAAATTCTCTTTGAATGTGTGGGGCTATGTGACTGTGTGTGCTCGGGAAAGCCTTTTGGTGTCTTGGTGCAGACCCAACCAAATGTGAAAAAACCACTGGAAACCACTGAAATCTAACAGCCCTAATGTCTTAGAAGAACTCTCAACCACAGGCCTGTCTACCTGGTGAGAAAGGTTCGATGACTTTATACAGTGGACTTGTGTTACTTGTGTTGTTAAATTTTGTTTGAATGTAAAATGTATTATTTACTGCTGGATGTAAATCTGATTTCAAGTAATTGAAATAATAGGTCTACCGAAGAGATCTACTGTATTTTATAAATTGTACAGAGTATATGCCAAAACACTACATGCCAGGAAAGACTCTTAAGCCAATGAAACTTTACATCATGGGGCAGAGAGGTGAGTGAGTTTTGCATAGAACACATTCACCTGTTTCTCTTATCTCCATTTGCATGCAGATAACAGTCAAATGAGGAGTGATATCTGACCTTGACATCAGGGCCTTGTAGAATTTGTATAGGTACATTATATCTTCCGCCAATAGGAATTGAGAGAACAGTAATGGGGTTGTAGTTGAGCAGACCATGGTTAATTTATCCTTGGTTAGTTTCTCTTCTTTCTAGAAAAGAAATGTTGTGATTAACATTGTGATTTTTAAAATGTGTGAAACTAATACCATATTTTTCAGACCATAAGGTGCACCGCATTATAAGGTGCACTATCAATGAACAGAAATATTTTCATACATAAGGCGCACCGGGTTATAAGGCGCATTAAGCAAAACAAAACAGTCAGCGAAACAATTAAGCGGAAAAATCAAGCATCGCACCATACATTGACAGTGCAAAAACACAACTCAGGGGAGAGAGAGGGGTGATTGGAGCAGACCTTAATGGTCATGTAGGGGAAGGGAACAGAGGAGATGAGGAAGTGATGGGCAGCTTTGGCCTTAGGGAGAGAAACATGGAAGGACAGGCAGTGGTAGATCTCGCAAAGAGAATGGAAATGGCTGTGGTAAACACCTATTTCCAAAAGAAAGAGGAACACAGGGTGACGTACGAGAGTGGAGGCAGGTCCACACAGATAGATTATATTCTATGTAGAAGAGGTCATCTGAGGGAGATTAGAGACTGTAAGGTGGTGGCGGTTGGGAGTGTAGCCAAACAACATCGCATGGTAGTGAAAGATCCGGGTCACAGCACCAGTTGAAAGATTTTTGCTGTGCTATGGTCGATTCGTTTTAATAGCAAAACGTCAAACAAAACAGGTCCAACAATAAAGCTAAATAAAACGACTGGAGAAGTATTCAAGGAAATCTCGTACAACAGTTGTTAATATGCAAATCCAAGAACTAAAACTTCCTAAGAATA